GTGTTATGTTTAGTGGAGGAGGCTAGCATTAGGCCTAATTGGGAAAGATGAATTAACACCTCCTATTTATAATAGCCAACCCCCGATCCCATATACAAACAATCTAATTACTTATTATTAGTCTCCTTTCCCTTTCTAATTTAGACTTTCTCATAATAGGTAGTACGATCCTTAAGAGTAGGCTGTTGCCTTCCTTGATCTCTATCAGGTAATTTAGATATTAGATTTATTTTTTACTACCTCCGTCCTATTTATATTGGGACGGAAGAGGGTGGCACGGTTATTAAAAAAAGTGGGTTTGTGTGGTTGATATTAATTGATAAAGTAAGAATAAAGTAAGAATGATTTAGAGCCACACAAACTTTGTCAAATATGGTATGAGACAATTTAAGTGGGACTTTCCGAAAAGGTAAAACGGGACAATATAAATGGGAGTATTATTCATATTTAATTTAGTGGGTGTATTTAGTAAGAAAGGGGATGTGAATAGAATTTTCCATTCAAAAGTACATCCATTCTCTTCGTTTCATCTCATCTTAGGATAGATACTTCTCTTTTTTTTTATTTGAAAAAAAGAATTTAAAATTACACTTCGAAATTATAGTGTTAGGCTATTTTTACTTGGACTGTAATTTGCTGGTCTAGTCTTATCTGGTCTGATCTGTTTAAGTTTGATATGGTCTAATCTGAATTGGTCTGGTAAATATTTGGTCTTTTTGTACGACACTACAGAAATCTGGTCTGGTAAATATTTGGTCTTTTTGTAACTACAGAAATCTGGTCTGGTCTGCTTAAGTCTATTTGGATTGGTCAAGTCTGGGATTGAAAACAGTTCAAATAAAAGCATTCTTATACTACGAAAGTATAGTAATGTTAGTCCCATTTTGTAAGACACTTTTCTTATTCACTTGGTCAACAAAAATCACTCATAATCTCTTACTTTATATATCAAATTTTTATCAAATTTGATTCTGGTTTTTGCAACTTTGTAAAACTTTTAATATAGTTTCTGAATAAGTAATTGTTTTCTAAAAAAAATTGAGTGCAGACAGAGATCTGTTTGCTTAATCTTCGGTCAAACATCGTAAATCGTAAAGTGTCTTACAATTCGGTACGGAGGGAGTAGTAAATATTTATATCAATGGTAAGTTTATATTAAGTATTAATAAATATGTGTAAAATATATAGTAATATATTTATCATATTTATATGTATAATATACACAATTTTAGCATAATATATTTTATACTAGTATTCCTAGTAGGGGCGGGCAAAAATACTGAACCAATATGGTACCGAACCGAACCGATATGGTACCGGACCGAAAAATGGGGTTTGAAACGGATCTCAATTTTTTTGTCCTGAACCGAACTGTACCGATTCTAAACAATGCCATGACCGGGTTCTCATAAAATGAGAACCGGTACCGGACCGAAGTATGATTCAATGATTTAAATTTACATTTATACCCTTACTTTGACTACTGTCTTCACACTTTCACCGTCTTTGCTAATTCATAGGAAGCCTGGAATCGGACCGATGTATGGTTTAATTATTTATATTTGTACTACTATAATTTATCTGAAATTTATTAATTATGTAAAATACTACATTCATCCCAAATTGATTTGCAAAATTAACTTTTCTTGGTCAAACAGTTTCATTTTATTCACTTAACTAGAATGTCTCTTTTTAATTATATTTAATTTGGAGCTTGCAACCTTGACGTGATTTCAATGTAGTTTCAGAATATGTTTATTTTAATTATTAAAAAATAAATCAATTATCAATAAAGAGAATTTAACTTTAACATGGTTGACAAAAAAATTATTCACTTTGCATGTCAATTTGGGATAAAATGAGTATGAAAATTGATAAATTGTGTCGATTTTTGGAGGATGAATAAACTTTAATTTCCTCTTAAGCACTTGAAAAAAGTGGCATTGTTTGGTATTGGTATGACATGGTACCGTCCCGTTTCAAAATGAAACCGTACTGAACGGGTTTAGGTCTAAGACCGAACCGAACCGTTTGAATAGTAACGGTACGGGTACGGGTACGGGTTCGGCCAAATATTGGACCGGACCGCGCCCACCCCTAATTGCTAGCATTTTCTTTTATGAGAAAACGGCGTTTTGTACCAATACGCCAGAATCCAAACAGCCTCATTAAGTTAAGGCTAAAATTCTGTCAACTGTTAGAATTATACGCAGTAGTAAATTAATATCCTACGAAAATAACTTATTTGTTACTAAATGTAATCTATGAATATTTATTCTATTTGTAAAGCAGTCTTATAAATAATCTTATTAAGTTAGTTTATAAAGTAAATTTGTTAATATAAGTAAATTTAGTAATGTAAGTGTGTGAATATAGACTAATTCATACGAAATTAATCTTATATTACTGCTAATAATATAAGGTTACCAAATTTGTTTATAAATTTGTTAGTTTCTTTCATTAGTTTCTTTCACCTATTATTATTTGAGTAAATTTCTTTCACCTATTCGTAGTAGTATTTTTAGATGGAATTTAGTAATTTTAGATGGAATTTAGTATTTCAGATGGAATTTCCAGTGAATTAATTAATTTATATTGAATTTAGATGAAAATTTGTATTATATATTTTGTTTAAATTAAGTCTATAAATAATTACTTCATCTGACAAAAAGATGATATTTTGTTATACGTTCAAAATGCATTACCCCGATACGCATGCCACAAGACACTCCGCAAGTTATGACACATCATGTTCGTGACTCTCGCAATTCCTCAGCTCCCTCGGCATTGTCACCCCCCCCCCCCCCCCCAATTGGCAGACAAAGGGTGACTGACTAATACCGTAACTGGTACACGCGGGTGTTCAATAGACATGTCAGCATCCCTACGTACACTGTGTCTGGGACAAGCTACATCTCTGGAACACGCGAGATGAGTCTTGTGGTAAGTTTTTCAATACACTGTATTCAATGAGAAATTTTATTTCCAACAAAATATTTATACCAATACTTTTTCATGCAGATGCAATGCCTTCACGATGTATATCAGCTCGCCGATAAAGCTGGTAATGTGGATATTAAAGACCGGATAAAACAATGTGTTATAGCTATAAATGTAGAAGAGGTGCTCTACGAGGGCGTCTTCACTTACCCTGATGCACATGATGACCCCAGTCCCCGTTCTCCTCTTAGGCAAGACCTCCGAAGAGATGCCCCTGTCCGTGGTCATAATTTTGGATGTGGGTACTTTGTGTCGCATCCATTTCATATGGAGGGAGATGCTAACAGAAATGAAGATGTAGATGAAGACGATGATCAAGACGGAAATGCGAGAGTACATGGAGATGAAGACGAATCTGAAGAAGGTGGGGGAAGATTATGTGATGGAGATGAAGATGAAGGTGGGGACGAGAAAGAATAACCATCACCTCAATTTATTCACTTCATGCATTCCCATTTTATGAGTCACCGCCATAATATTATGAGTATTATCAGTACTCCACACAGGCAAATACACATAAACTTTCACATTTCTAGATTCATCATTTGATCATGTACGCTCGTCACTTGAGTCCTGTCCTCATATGCCCACACACCAGTGGGGGACATAGCAGGCCCGATGACACATCCGATTTTTGAAAAAAAAAACATTAGTAAACAACTCGGAAGCGGGATGATAAAACAGAGGGTGGCATTGTGATTCATTAGTAAACAACTCGGAAGCGGGATGATAAAATAGAAGGCAGCATGAGGGAGAGTGGCGGCAGCGGCACATATGGCAGCGACATATACAGAGAGGAATTCATCAATCGTGTCGCGGAAGAAGCAGATCTGGTGCGCAACCGATCGATTGTGCAAGAGAGAGAGAGAGAGAGAGAGAGAGAGAGAGAGAGAGAGAGAGAGAGAGAGAGAGAGAGAGAGAGAGAGAGAGGTGGCCGGCTGCAGTTGCTTCTAGTGCGCAGCGTAGAAGCAGATCCGATGCCTGGTACGGGAGGTTGGGAGAGATATTTGGTCTAGGGCAAAAAATAACCGTATGGGCAAAATTGGGATGCAAATTTCTATATGTTTCATAATAGGATTAAATTGATCCTATTTGGGGAAAAAAAATAAGAAGTCCTATTTTTGCAGTTCAACCTTGTTTTAGTCCTATATGAGACAATTACTATTATTTATTCTATCAATATAAAAATTGTAATTACATAAAAATAAAAGTTACTGCTAATAACTAGTAAAACTATATATCCCAATCATGCAAATATTTATAAAAGACATAATAGATCAATATATATAGCTACATTATAATAGGTAATGAATGTGTAAATGCATTTTTATAAACTAAATTAAACATAACACATAAATTAACTTTCTACCTCAAGAAAACCAAAGACAATCGACGATATTATGATTAATGCTAAACGATTAACAAATAAATTTTCATATTTTGATAAGTTCGGTTTATTCGATTCGGTTCATTTTAAAGGGTAAAAACCAAAATCCAACCAAACAACTACAGGGTTTTTTAAATTCAGTTTCAGTTTTTAGCGATACGGTTTAATCTGATTACAGTTCAATTTATTTTGATTCAGTTTTTTGTTTTTGATTTTTCAGACCCAGCCCTAGTACTTACACCTCTCTAATGCAATATCATCAAATTCTAGTACAACATGAAGCCGTTTTAATAAAACATCGTCAAATCCTAGTGCAACTTGAAATTGTGTTAGTGCAACTTGATATTGTTTTAGTGCAACATACCAAAATATAAATCCTAGTGCAATATTAGATGCTAAGTTAGTGCAAAATATTAGTGCAATATTAAATCCTAGTGCAATATTAAATCCTAGTGCAAAATATCATATGATTGAAGTCCTTGTGCAACATTAGTGCAACACTAGTGCACATTAGATGACGTTTTAGTGCAACATAAAAAAATTTAAATCTCCTGAAACAGTAGTGCAACATTATAAAATTTAAATTCTCATGCAACATTAGTGCAACATTATTAGTGCAACATTAGACGACGTTTTTGTGCAACATTAGATGTTGTTTTAGTGCAACATTAGTGCTACACTAAACGCTGTTTTAGTGCAACATTTTAAAATATAAATCTTCGTGCATCATTAGTGCAATATTAGTGCAAAATTATGTGCTCTTTTTAATAATAGAGTAGTCAGGTTATTTATCTTTTTAATTTGTTATCTTTTTTATCTCACATATTTTTTTTTTTATTGTATTTTTTTATCTTATCTTTTTTTTACCCTTTTTAGCTTCGATTTCGTTTAAATATAATTGTATTCACAAATACCTTGATCAAAGTATGTGTATAGATACTGGATTCATCTCAGGTTAATTCGAAATTAGACAGAAAGAACCAACATAAAGAAACCAAATCTTTGAAATTTGATGAAACCTTTAAGAGATGGGATCTGTAATGATAATCAGAAATTTGATGATCTTAAATCTCAAGCACACATACCAGCCAGCTCCTTCTCAAGAGCCTGAATTTTCTCTTATTGTTTCATTTGCCTCTCCATTAATTGAACCTCTTGCATCAGCTTCAAATAAAAAGTAACAGTTTACAGTGATATGAGTAAAAATAGAAGATATCTCAATAAAATTATAAAGTATAAATGGAGCAAACATTGATGGAATATCAGGAGCTTCAACAAATGGCTCTTTATTTATATCTTTCAACATTATCCTCCTCTGCACACACCTCATTCAGTTCAGTTGAAGAACTTCCACCAAATATTCAGGAACCTGAAGAAATGGTTGAATATTGTTTGCATCTTCTTCAACCTGTTGTACCTTCCATTCGCCAGAATAGACTTCAGGAGCCTCATTAAATGGATAATTACTTTCTTTATCTCCCTCAATCTCCTCTCTGCATGCCTCATGGAGTCATCGAGTTCACTTTTGGTTATTGGAGGTGAAGAACAAGATTCCCATTCTCCCCCATTGTAATCCTCTGCCAAGGGTGAACTTGGACCTGAAGATGTGTGGTTTTTGAACAGAGAGCTCACGTTTTCTGTTCAGAGGAAGCATGTGCATCCTTTTGTGGAATCACTTCACTTCTAGATGCATTTTGTGGCTACCATCATAAGGCAAAGGACCATTATAACGGTTTCACGGAATAGAACAACCGGCTTCGGATGTAGGTCTATGGTGATGAGAGGGACGAGCATAAGGCTGAGCTGAAGATGAAAACAAGCTGATCATCTTAGCTTTTTGAGAATGGTCCATCTCAAACGAAAAATGGCATGAGTGAGCTTGATCATAGTAGTTACCAGCAATGACAGGGTAAAACTGGTCTTTTTTCAAAGCATAGCACCTCTCGAACAGTCCATGCATATGGGTCAATATTTAGTTTTCCAGGGCCAACACCCTCAAATGTACCCAGAAGCTTCCGATCACTATAATTAAAAAGGAAGAGCGGCATGCCAGCACTAACCTTCATGACATAGGCAAAATGTCCAAATGGCAGCCCTAAACAACAAAAATAAAACAAAGAATCATATCAGATTTGGTAGAAATTATAAAGAGTAGCATATTGATAAAACACAATGCATATATAATTACATACAATACACAAATGTGGGATTCACCCATTACCAACTATGATTATACCAAAACAACATAACCATCAAATACTGCAAAAAATATTATTGGTGAAAAAGTACAATGCATGAAAGAGAGACATAGAGTGTAAGAGAAAATCCAAATAACAGCTTCGAAAAACATTCTTCAATTGTATGACTTTTACAGCCAAAAATGACAGCTCTGAGGTCACTCTTCGGGAGGTTCCGAGTGGGCACACTGCAGTTGTGCTGTTGGGTCGGTCGCCGTTCCTCACTGACTGGTTTTTATTCTTCTTCATGGAACCCATTCAGTCAAAGTCTCCTACAAAATATCACACTTCAATAATACACTGCATAAGTGATCAATCTGACAAGCTGAAACACAAACAAATACCAATAATCACACAAAATAAGTTTCCCATCGCTTTTATCCCCTTCACAATTTCACGATGAACCACTGGGACAACTCTCAGCACATAAAATCCTGCATTGTTATGTCTCTGGTACGTACATTAACCCCGCATTGTTATTTCAACATTTACACGTATAAACAAATGTGTATGTCTATTTAAAGGTGTCTACATTCGATCTAGTACAGCCCGGAGAAGAAGGCAAGTAGAACATCACCAAAATGTCATATCGTAGGCATGCCAATACAGCAAACATTCGTATTTAGATGACAAAATCAAAGCGAACATTACATAATAGATGCTATTTTAGTGCAACATTTGTGCAATATTAGTGCAACGGTGCAACATTAGGGCAGCATTGGTGCAACATTAGGGCAGCATCAGTGCAACATCCTAAATATAACAAATAAGATTTAATAAAATTTCTCACATTAGATGCATATATATAGGGAAGAGTTCAAATAAAAAGAGGTGTTCCCGTGCACAGTGCGAACAGTTGCACTCTTTCCTCACAGCGTTGCACTTTTGCATGCTTCTGCTGCACTTTTACGCGGTGGCAAAATAATTCGGATTATTTATGAAATTCCCACTGCGTTTTTATTCAATTTAGTGCATTTTTGGCTCATTTTGAGCCATTAGATGTGGCAATCAATGCACAAGATTCATTCTTACTTTGTATTTGAATCATCTCCAATTTTTTAAATGGAAAGATTTTTTTATAAACTTGTAAAAAGTACAAATGCCAACGAAAGATAACAGCTAATGACGGATGAAAGCTAAAGACGGATGGAAGCTAAAGAATAAACTTAAGACTATAGAAAAGAAAGTCTTTAGTTTCTAGAGGCGGGCCTTGCACTCCTAGGAACCTTAAAACGGTTCCAAGAGGGATCTCCTGCGCGATCTAGAAGTTCTCGATATGATAATCTTGTCGAAAAAACCATCCCCAATATATGTGTATTCTTATTCTTTATCTTTCTCTGTCTTAATAAAAGAGTAGTCATGCTATTTATCATTTTTGTCTATTTTATTTTATTATTTTTATCATATCTTTTTTTATCGTTATCTTGACATTTATTTATCATTATCTTGCTTTTGTCCTACTTAGCTTTTATTTAGGGTTTAATGTACCCCTGTGATTTAAAATATGCGTCAAACCCCATGTTATAATTAATCATACGCCAAACCCCCTCAAATAGGGCCAGCAGCCTCAAATGTACCCAGAAGCTTCACATCAGATTAGTTAAAAAGGAAAAACAGCAGGCCAGGACTAACTTTCTTGACATATGCAAAAGGTAGGTCCAATTGGCAGTCCTGGACCAACAAAAACAAAACAAAAAATCAATGCATAGATAATTATATATGATTACAATACAGTGAATACACAAATGTGGGCTTCCCCATTACCAAATACGATTATACCAAACCAACACAACCATCAAATATTGCAAAAAAATTCTTGGTGAAAAAGTACAATAATGCATGAAAGAGAGACAAAGAGTATAAGAGAAAAAACAAATGACAACAAAAAATGATAGCTCCTCGATCACTCCTCGGGGGGTTTCGAGCTGACACGCTGCAATTGTTTTACATGGAATCATCTAAATTCATATCATCTCATTGATGTTTACCATAATGATGACTAAATGCGCATTTGGAATAACAAATCGAACCAATTCACTTTTTCTGTTTCTGCTTCTTTTTAAAGCAGAAGCAGAATCAGAATCAATTTTCAAAAGATGGTCCCTCCAAATTCTAAAAAAACTGATTCTAGAATCACTTCTGCATTTTCACCCAAACACTCCAACTTCTGCATAGTGAAGTGCAGTTTTAGAATCAGATTCAAACACCCCCTCAATAGAAGTATAGTGAAGTGCATGCGTACCTGGATTGGCTATGGTAGAACGATTGACAGGTGGTGGGCGAAGGATAGATGCGGGTTGGGGATATAGGCTTATACATACTCCCTCCGTCCCTTAAAACTTTGCCAACTTTCTTTTTTGGGACGTCCCAAGAAACTTCCACCCACCGAATATTCAGGGACCTGAAAAAATGGTGGAATATTGTCTGCATTTCCTTGAACCAGCTCCCCCTCCCATTCCCACGAATAGACTCCAGGAGCCTCAATAAATGGATGAAAACTTTCTTTATTTCCCTCAATCTCCTCTCCCCATGCCTCATGAAGTAAAGTTTTGGTTGTTGGGAGTTGGGTACAAGATTCCAACTCTCCCCCATTGTAATGTTCTGTCAAGGGTGAAGTTGGACGTGAAGACGCAATCTTCAACCGCTCATATTTGCTCACCATATAAGCGGATGTGTCTTTTTTGAACAGAGAGCTCCATGTTTTCTCTTCAGAGGATGGATGTGCATCCTTTTTTGAAATAACTTCACTTGTAGATGCATTGTGCGGGTTACTGCCATCATAAGGCAAAGGAGCATTATAACGATTTCAAGGAATAGAACAGCTGGCTTCAGATCTATGGTAATGAGAAGGACGAGCATAAGGCTGAGCTGAAGATGAAAACAAGTTGATCATCTAAGCTGTTTGAGAATGGTCCATCTCAAACCAGATATGGTGTGACTGATCATAACAATTATCCACAATGATGGGGTAAAATTAGTCTTCCTTCAAAGCATAGCAGCTCTCGAACATTTTAATATTGACCTTGGAAGACACAGAATGGTAAGATGAACATTTATAGGCATGTATGAATATTAACCTTAAAAGACAAATGGTTCAATCGTGTTAGTACTTAGTACATGTGCAGGAAAGTCTGTTTCACGGTCTGCCCCATTAGTCCTTGCATATGGGTCAATATTTAGTTTCCCTGGGCCAAGACCTTAAATACACCCAGAAGCTTCCGATCACTGTAATTAAAAAGGAAAAGTGGCATGCCAGCACTAACCTTCTTTATATAGGCAAAATGTCCAAATGACAGCCCTGAACAACAAAAATGAAACAAAAATTAAATCAGATTTGCTAAATAATTATAATGAGTACCATATTGAAAAAACTCAATGCATATATGCAGATGCAGGATTCACCCATTTTAGTGTAACATTAGTGCAACATTAGATGTTATTCTAGTGCAACTTTAGATGTTGTTTTAGTGCAACATCGTAAAATTTAAATCTTCATGCAAAATTAGTGCAACATTAGATGCTATTTTAGTGCAACATTAGTGCAATATTAGTGCAACATTAGATGTTGTTAAGTGCAACATTAGTGCAACATTTGATGCTATTTTAGTGCAATATTAGTGCAACATCGTAAATCCAACGATTGAAATTTATTCACATTTCTCACCTTAGATGCATTTTTCATCTGAACCAATATATGTGTGTGTTTTATGCTTTATCTCTCTCTTTTTAATAAAAGAGTAGTCATGCTATTTATCATTTTTGTCTATTTTATCTTATCATTTTTATTGTATCGTATATTGTCTTTTTTATCTTGTCTTACTTTTTACCCTTGTTAGCTTCTATTTAGAAATTTTATAGGTTTGTGAAAATATAATGGTATTCACAAATACGTTGATCAAGTGTGTGTTGGATTCCTCTCAGGTTAGTTCCATATTAGACAAAAAAAAAACTTAAAGAAACCAATTCTACCCTCTAAAAAATATACATTGAACAAACAAGGCTGAAATCTCCACTCTAAAAAATATCCAATTCTAAGGACAATCAAAGGAGACACCACAAGAGAGCTATCTACATAGTATTGTTGTTAGCCGCATTCATTAACATCAGTCACTCTTCGAGACCTATACACAATTTCATTCCAAAGTTATAATTAGTTAAGAACAAATAGATTTAGAGCATCTTATTTTTACTCTATTTCAAAGAAACTACACTGCGACAGTATTATTGCTATGGTTCGAAATCCAAGACACTATATGTACCTTGACCCGACTGACCCGATTTATATCCGTGATTTTGAGCGGGAAAGTGGGCTCTTTTTTCTCTTCCTTTTGTATATAGACAGATTAGACAGAAAGTACTAACGTAAAGAAACTAAAATATTGTACTCTTGATTGTTGTGTGAAACCTTCGAAAGATGGGATCCGCGATAATGACCAGAAACTTAAATCTCAAGCACACATACCGATGCCAGATCCTTCTCAAGAGCCTGAATTCTCTCTTCTTGTTCAATTTGCCTCTCTTTCAGTAGTTGAACCTCTTGCATCAGCTTCAAATAAAAGATAACAGTTTGAATAAAAACAGAAGATATCTCATATCTACATGAAATTAAAGAGGATAAATGGAGCTACCATTGATAGATTACCAAGAGCTTCAACAAATGGCTCTTTATATGTTTCAACTCTGTCCATCTCTGCACACACTCCATTCAGTTCGTTTGAAGAACTTCCACCCACCGAATATTAAGGGACCTGAAGAAATGGTGGAATATTGTATACATTTCCTTCAACCAGCTCTCCCTCCCATTCCCACGAATAGACGCCAGGAGCCTCAATAAATGGATGAATACTTTCTTTATCTCCCTCAATCTCCTCTCCCCATGCCTCATGAAGTTAAGTTTTGGTTGTTGGGAGTGGGGTACAAGATTCCAACTCTCCCCCATTGTAATGTTCTGTCAAGGGTGAAGTTGGGTGTGAAGACGCAATCTTCAACCGCTCATATTTGCTCACCATATAAGCGGATGTGTCATTTTTGAACAGAGAGCTCCATCTTTTCTGTTCAGAGAAAGCATTTGCATCCTTTTGTAGAAGAACTTCACTTGTAGGTGCATTGTGCAGCTTACCGCCATCATAAGGCAAATGAGCGTTATAACGGTATTGGGGAATAGAACAACTGGATTTAGTGGTAGGTTTATGATGATGATAAGGGCAAGCATAAGGCTGAGCTGAAGACGAAAACAAGTTGATCATCTTAGCGGTTTCAGAATGGTCCATCTCAAACCAAGAATGGTTTGACTGAGCTTGATCATAGTACTTATCACTTATCAGCAATGACAGGGTAAAACTGGTCTTCTTTCAAAGCATAGCAGCTCCCGAACATTTTGATTCCATCCACAAATATCCAATTTATCATGTTAACACTTGTGCAGGAAAGTCTGTTTTGTGGTCTGCCCCATTAGTCCATGCATATGGGTCAGTATTCAGTTTTTAGTGGCCAGCAGCCTCAAATGTACCCAGAAGCTTCCGATCACTATGATTAAACAGGAAAAGCAGCATGGCAGGACTAACCTTCTTGAAATATGCAAAATGTCCAAATGGCAGTCCTGACCAACAATAACAAAACCAAAAATGCCAATCAGATTGGGTAGAAATTATAATGAAGAGCATTCTTCAATTGTATGGCCTTTATAACAGGCTTACAGCCAAAAATGACAGCTCCGAGATCACTCTTCGGTAGATTCCGAGCGGCACACTGCAGTTGTACTATTGGATAGGTTGTTGTTCCTTCGCCGCCTGGTTTTTATTCTTCTTCGTATAACCCATTCAATTAAAGTCTCCTACAGATTATTACAACTCAACATACACTTCATAAATGATCAATCTGACAAGCCAAAACATAAACGAATACCAAAAATCACACAAAATAAGATCCACTTGGTTTTTATTCCCTTCAAATTTTCAAGCTGTACCACTGCTTATTGGATAAATCCCTGCACATACAATCCCGCAGTGTTATGCCTTTATGGTACATTAATCTACAGTACTTCGAAACAAGGCCTTATTTCAAATCACAAATCACAAATGTGTTTGCCTATTTAAGGGTATCCAAATTCTAGAACAACCCGGAGAAGAAGGCAGTAGAACATGGTCATACAATAAACATTCGTATTCTAGTAATGAAATCAGTTCGTATACCGTGGTATCACCCCACTGTGAGCACCGTACTCACACACCCAAAACGACATAGTTTTGCACAATTTTAAAAAAAATTCGCGTGAACAGTAACGCGTGAACAGTACACGTGTGTACAGTAACTGTTTTTTGTCCCAACAGTATGAATGATGTTACTCGCGTGTAAAGATATGTAACTCACGTTATTGATCAATGTAACTCAAGTCCATTCGAAATGTAACTTATCAAATGCATGCTATAAAGAATAAAATATTGATTTCAATGCAAACAATGAAAAAAAGAGTCTAACTACACAATTACTTTACATAAATCGTGAACATGTTTTGTTTTTAATATCATGACCATCACAAGGATTTTAAAAAAAATCATTTTTTTGTTTCAATAGCAGAGGGTTATTTTTTTGATGTAACTCATGTTATTACAAATGTAAATCGTGTTGATGACAAATGTAACTTACGCTTCAGAAAATGTAACTCGCTTATAAAATAATGTAACTCAAACATAAAAATATGTAACTCGCATAATAAAATGTAAATCACGTGTAAACAACATGTAACTTACTGAGAAAAGTTGACATGTAACCCACGCTAATAGATATGTAACTTAAGAAGCACGGAGATGTAAATCGTTTTAATAAAAATATAACTTTTCTAAAATAAATGAGAATGTAACTAGAAACAACTTTGGCTTTCTCATGCAGAAAGCCAATCCCCTGCAATAACTTTTCCATGGATGGCCATCCCAAAATTCAATCCCACCTTTAGGAGCCATAAGTTGAGAGAAATTCATTCCCCTGCAGAAACCCATTCCAATCCCAACCCACTTTTCCAAACATTTATTAGGGAGGGATTTGAAGAATCGAGAGGGGATTATGAAGCTTGTATGTGTTGAACTCAGAAATCATGGAATTGTCCCATGAGGGGAGATCTGAAGGGTTAAGGGTTGTAGTGGACGGTGGAATTGCCTTGCAAAGAGCTCGTCCATCCCGTCGTCTAGCTCTCTCTAGCAAAAGAGTCCTGGAAATAGTTTTAATTGAACGGGTCTCTGTTCATCGTCTCTCTCAAGTGGGAAGATGGCCGATTTTTATTAATTAAAACGGCGCCGTTTGGGATTGGCACACCATGCGCATGGTGGGCCGATCCCACGATATAAACAAAGCTAACATCGAATAATAGCCAGCTCCTTCAAATATCACCAAAATAGTTGGATAAACAAAATAGCTTAGTTTCCAGAACAGGAAACTTAAAGGGAGGATAAAAGTGGTTGAAAAACGTACTAATACTACTTTATTAGGCATAAGATTGAGAGGCCAAATTGTTAAATATGGACTCCGTCCATATGAAAACAGAGTTTACACTCTCACTTTCATGCATTCCAGCACCGTCAATAAAATACACTCATCATATATTTTAACCTATCAACTTAGAAAAACATTAATTAAATTATTATAAATAATGTTTTCCTTTTAATTTTTTCGCTGAATAATTATGAAATAAAAAATACATATTTTGATTTAAAAATACATAAATTTAAATAATTTTTTTAACGTTTTTTGGTTAACAAAATATGAACTTAATTCAAGTAAAGTTCGATTATGGAATATTCAATTATTTGTGAAGGCTTCATGAATTAAAGATTTGTGTTTCATGTTTTTCCGGGGCTCAAGAAAACTTCAACAGTTAAAACTTCAAAAAAATCATTTTTATATATTACATATTGGTGTCATATGAAAGATCATAAAAATTTATGAATTTTGATATACTTTTTGAAAAAATTGGATAAAAAATAAAAAAGTTATACAAGTTTAATTTTTTGGGATATTATGATGCAGGCATGACATCATCCACACCAGAAAAGCAACCTGCGTTCTTTTTTCTCTTCTTTTTCTTTCTTTTTCTTTTTCCCACTCCCCTCTTAACCAACCCTATATATTTAATACCTTCCATCCCCTCTTCCATTTTAATACCACTTTTAAACTATCACTACACACAATTTGGAGTCCAAAAATTCTACATTTAGCATTTTGGACTCCTAATACCTCACCACTCCAAATGGTCTAACAAGTGAAGTTGTGCTGCTGTGCTTCTGCTTCTTTTTCAAATCAGAAGCAGAATCACTTCTGCACTTTCACCCAAATACTTCAGTTTTTCTGTTTCTGCTGTCTGAAGGAGCAGAAGCAGTTTTAAGAATCAGATCCAAACACCCCCTAAAAGAAATGACCTGTAAGTCGGTAACAGAGCATGAGGCCGTTTGGTACACTTTTACTTGGTTATCAGACTTAGCATCTTTTTCACCACACACCTAATTTTTGCTTTCGCGCTCTGAATTGTAATTGTGTAATAAGTAGAAAAAGTAAGGTTGGCGTTACTTTTCTGGCTATATTGGCTGAAGTTGCTGTAGATGACCATTTTAACTATTTCTATATATAATTTTTTTGAAAATATTTGTTTTCAATATTATTTTCTATATAATTTTATAAATAGAATATATTTTGAAAATATTTGTTTTCTTAAATGAGCAGTCATTGCAACCACTTCAGCCAAAACTTCATAAATGTATTGCGCTGTTAAACTGCGCAGTTATCTTCGAAAATTCATTTGACTGCCTTCCTGATTGAATTTTTATCTGAAATTTGGTATGAATAAATTAGACTTAATGAAGAAAATGATCAAAACGATTCATCAAAATTCCACCAGGAACGGCCCCAATTGGCAATGATCAGACAGAGCCTCCTATATAAGGGGTGAATTAAATTTTTAAATTAGTTCGAGAGCCTATTTGACCCTTTAGCCTATGGATTACACTAACTATCAATATAAAAGATAAAACTTAGAAAAAAAGTGTAAGAATATAAAAAACATATTACAAAAATAGTGTATAATTACAAAAAATAATATACAAATAAAAATGGTGTATGAATATGAAATGCAATATACTTATTTTATTTAGATTATTTTGTTATGAACTGATAAAGAATAAAAATATAGATTGAGTTGTAACCTAAGTTGAATACAATGAAAAGTTAATTTCCAATTACATTTTTAGGACTTTGATGGATTGGGTGAAAAGAATTAAAGAAAAGAAAAATAAAAAAGAAGAAGTCAAGGAAAATGAAAAAGTGATGCAATGTAGGAGAAAAAAAGTGTGCAAATATGTATTATGTTGTATTGCATACGGAGTAGTGGGATCGATATACCGTGTGCTCGATGTAACGTTCCCACGGTATAATCTGTCATGTTAGTCTAATCTTGTTGCCTTGTGCCCTTCCCCGTCCTTTCATAAATTCTCATTCTTGTTTGGTTCTCGCTTTTTATTTTGGCAAGATAAAGGCGGACAACATTCTCATTCTTGTTTGCTTCTTTCACAAAAATCCACTAATTCATCATCATCATTACCTCAGTGCCGCAAAGGCTCCCATCTACGGGGGGTAAGGGGGGGTCGGATGTATGTAGCCTTACCTCTGTACTAAAGTACATAGAGGCTGTTTCTGAAAGATCCATAGTGAAAATCGCATCAAAATTACATAGAGTGACTGCTACTTCATAACAAAGAAGCGCAAAGAGTTTAATGAGCCATTTTGCTTTATTCAATCATATTCTCAAGTAAAAAAAAGTGAGTTTAGTGGAACTAAAATCCAGTAATTAATCATGTAAAAAATTACCACGTGATTCACTATTTATTAGCGTACATTTAAGAGATTATGTTTTTCTACTATGACTTCCTAAAATGCTCTTCTCACTCTTGGTAAATTTTACGGTAAAATACATTATTTTGACACTGTTTAACACTTTTTGGCATTGGTTTCCTACCTCTAGAGAAGGGCTATAGTGCATTTTTTTAAGGATTTTCTCAGTGGAAGGGTAGCCGTTTGGCTCTCATTTTGCAGTTTTTGAGTTGCTTAGTAGAAGTGGTATTGATAGCATGGTTTTCATGGGTTGTCTTCTTCCCGGGTTGCTGACCCCGCTTAGGGTGAATAGCCACGTGGAAGTGAGGAGGGAAGTGATGTCATTTCTTGTTTGCAAAGGAGTTTGAGAAAAGAGAATTCTATTATGGTTTGACTAAGATTACCTTTGGGTGCAAAGAGAATGCAGCGTTCCTAGGTGGAGGTGATTGTAATTTTTCAATACTCAGAAAGAATAGGAGAAGGAGAAGGAGAAGGAGAAAGAGAAATAGAAGGAGAAGGAGAGTTTAGGGTGGGATTGGATGTAGGAGGATTACACCACCTCTACACCGGGATAAATCTCTGTGTCATCTGTTTACAATAACTCCCAAGCACACACTCACTACTATTCATACAATAACTGATATTCTGACGCTTAAAATAGTCATCTATTTGCATTAAAACAAAACCAGTTTGTATACCGAGTTACGTTGAACATCTTACTGTCTTGTCACCTTAAGACCAAGCAAGCTAGACCAAACATCGTCTTAGTTTCATAAAATCTTCCATTATATTTTTCTTGAAGTCAGTACCAATCGAAAAACAATCTAATTTCTCTAATGTAAAGCGGCCTCAACAACACCCTGCCATCAACCTATTGGTGACCCTGTTGTTAAGCTTACTTTCCAACCAACTCTGTGTCATTGAAGTGATTTGTTGTTCCTTCTATCTTACCACAAAGATTGTAAAAACTCTTAAACACATTCTACTACAGAAAAAGGCCTTTGAAACACTCCTCGGTCAACGAACTATAAATAGAAAGTTATTCTTTCAACAAAAGAAAAGTGTGTAAAGTCACTGTCGAAAGAGGTCAAAGACTTCTGACGTGCATTCTATAACCTCTGAAAAGGTTTAGAATACTTTGAAAGAGGGAAAGGGATTGAAAAATGAAATGCTTAAAAGTCTAGTCGCATCCCCCCCAATAGACTTTTACCTCTATCATGGACCATCAGATGAGAATAACTTTTTTCAATCACTTGTTTGAAATATTTTTATGGTCCAAATGTTAGATCCAAAATCATCTCTTTCATTTTAAAAATATGAAAACAACAACTTATCCGTTTATCTACGAAGTATAAGATAAGGATAATATATTATATAACCTAATCTAGCAAAGCCATTAAGGAAAAGATCATTAAAGCAATTCATAGTATGTAAATTGAATTGCATAAACCATGAAGACAATTATAAATTTAAATAGTTCTAACTCATTTTATTTTACAGACACATATATTTAACGATTTTGCAAACCCTAGATTTGATTGAATCCAATCAAAAGCACAATTTTGAAAACCTATCGTGTTTATAATATCATTTAAAAGTATGAATTGATTATATGTGCGATGTCGATATCATATGTATGATTTTATGCACATGGATCAAATTAATATATACACATTGATGCACACTTATAGATTGGTGTATGAGCATACCCCAGGATTCCCGGGAATGTACGTAAATGCTTCCGCTTCAACTACTTATATCTTGATTGAGACGGAGGATCATTTTCCTTTTAATCGTTTGATGCGCGTGAGCTCTAGTTCAAATGACAAGTTGTATCTGCAACTCCGTAAGGAAAAGGGGTAAGAGAAAGATGAGGGTTTTCAATCCCTAGCCATAAAAATGGAGGCGGCGAAGGGGGTCAATTATGTTGGTCAGTCGTCATCTATAGAGTTAATTCATGGAACCATCTATTTCCATATCATCTTGTTGATGTTTATGATGATGGCTTAAATGCATATTTGGATTTTCAAACCGAACCAATTCAATAGAAGTACAGTGAATTGAATTACATACTACCTGGATTTTCTATTGAAGAACAACAAATGAGAGGTGCAACTTCAATAAATGGCGTAGGCGGAGTGATTTTCTAAATTGTAGATGAAATGATAAACAGATAGTGTTGAATAGCTCTAGTCGGATCGATTTCGGTGGGCGAAGGATAGATGCAAGTTGGGGATAAAGTCTAGCTAATTAGGGTTCCGCGTTATAAGTATTTTTATAGTAAAAGTAAATTCCAAATAAGTCCATCACATAAGCCCTTTTAGCTGGAATTAGAAGAGAATTTGGACTGATAAAATAACGAAATGGGCCCAAATGATCCATGGCTAAGGTCTATCCCCCCCCGGAAAGGTTTTTGTTTTCTTTCTCATGTTCTTTTGCTTTCTGGAAGGGTTGCCTTCTTTGATGAGATTTTGGCCTAGTCCCCCTCATCTCATGTATTCCTTTATTTTAATTAATAAAACCTGGTAAATGTTCCCCGACATTTACCCACACTGATTTTGGTGGTTTGTCTTCTGGGTTAAAAAAAAAAGGAAAAGTACATTTTTTTGGATGGAAAACAAAAAAAATGTGGGGCAGGGATTTTAAGAGGGAAAACCAGTCACCGTAAAAATAACATTTAAATTATTGTTTAGCATCACTATCAATGATTGATGTCGTAGTGTCATAACTTAATGACACTTGTAGGTTTATAACAATTAACAACATAGGTCATGTCTCAGTGACACTATTTAAAAAAGTATCACTATAAGATAATTTTTTACTAGTGGTGTGCCATGAAAGATCAGAAATCATCCATTTTCTCGAAGTGTGGAAGAGATAGACCTTTATGTTTGTCCACAAAGTCAATCACATTGAAGTCCCCTCACATGAGCCATTGTGAAGATTTATTATCATGCCAAGATTGTAAAGTATTCCATAGTTGTTCCCTCTCTTTTTGTGTGTTTAACTTATATAGTAGATTGCCAAATTGTATGTCCAAATTAATATGAGAAAGTGAAACAAGATGTTTATAAAGAAGATATATGTTATCCTTAGGACTCATGCATATATTAGGAAAGCCAAGTTGAAGATTAAAGTAATCACTTTTGAATTGTTAATCACCGGTTCAATAAGAATGAGAAAATGAATCTCTCATCGTTACGAGTTGATCATTGTAATCAATTAGTTGTTCTTGTAAATTTTAACTATTTTATTATAAGTTTAGTGTTCGGTTTTACATCTTATATTCTTTTGTTTACAAGTTAGTTGTATATATTATCGATGATAGTCATCCCAAACACAATGTGTACTCTGAACTATTTCAGAATTTGCAATTTCTAGATTAGTATGTAATGGTGATTTAGTGTATATGAAAATGGTGATTTTTATCAATTCATGCATGGTTAAGGCAAATTCAAATGCATCAAGGTTAATAAAATATCGATATATTGTGAAAAAAAGGATAAGGTCGGGCAACTTGTATGGAAAGTAGAAAACCAAAATTGTGACACCGCACCCGAACGTCCTTGAAAATTCAAATTAAAAGAAAATTCAAAGTTTATGTATTGAATTTCTGATTCCCAAACGATTGTGAAACGATTGTTGTTTTACGTAATTAACGATTGATTATTATACTGTTCGAACTCGTATATTAGTATCGGGCCTTATTAATAAATAAAAGGGCCTAGCATTAACTAAATAGTTATACATAACGTTTCAAGACAAGTTGAGGAAGGGCGGGCAGCCCATATATTATTTTGGGCTCAACCCGCTAAAATAGCAAATATTTGAGGACGGCGTCGTAGGCCCACTCGGGGCGACCCACACGGCTTGTAGCCCAATAATATGAATGACAATGTCAAAATAAGTGATAGGATGATTAAAGAAAAGTACAAATGCCTATAACCCCATCTTTGGCATTATTGAGCCAAATAATGGGAGTAGGATTTTCCTTCTATATTATCCATCAAGTAAATTATTGAGATGAGCCTACACATATTGGAGATCAATAATGTTATGTAGGAAGTTGACTTGTTCTAAATAAGTTAGGATGATTACAAAAAGACATCTTTGACAAAAGATAAAACAATAGGACCCATTCTTCCATTTTTGGATGTATTGATTAATGTTTTGCTCCCAAAAATAATTGGGGAACACATGCTGCGCCCCATCCCTTCTTTTCCACCTGCAAGACAAGAAAAATAAGGTTAGGAGACTGCCATAGCTGACTCTAGGGGCTGGACTTGACAAAGGAAACAAGAGGGAACCCCACCTAGTCAATTTTCGCACAAAAGAGTGGTGCTGGTTGTCTCCCTTCATGAGTGATGTTATACTCGGCCAAATAAGGTGAATGAGGTGTCCTTGGATAGCTTTTGAAGTCTATTTTTATAATTGAGTGGTCTCTGTTCGAGAGGAGAGAGTAATCATCCAAAAATCGATCTGGAACGAGCAGTGGTCTATGAACCCGAGCTGTGAGAGTGCTGAGACTGTTTGGTTGATATCTCGAGTTTTACCAATCCAATTAAGGCGTGTGAGATACCAAAAGAAAGCTCTCAAGACGAGGAATCCGTGAAGGTCTGGTTTGAATCAATCGGAGTAGAGGAAGGCTTCCAAATCGCCCGAGCAGAACGCGACCTCGCAGGAACGTATTTACTCTTCTAAGTGAGTTGTTAATCCCAAATCCTTTCCATTCATTTTCCAAATGATATGAACGATTGGTGGGACTATTGTACACTAATCCAAGTGTATAATATTTCCTTGTAAAGTTATTTTTATTGATGTAAAGGTTAGATACTAACCTAGAGCAAATATTGGAAAACTAGGAATCGAGTTAGCCGGAAAACACCCGTTCTAGGGGCTGTTTTCGTATCAACGGTTAGGGGTTGAATTAGCAACTTGAGGAAGCTGTTTAACACCCATTTTCAAGCAAGGAACCAGTTCTCAATCTTCCTTGGCCGAGGCTTTGGTCATTGGATCGAGAAGGAAAGTTTTAAAGCTCATTTGAGGTGAGGATCGACATCTAGTTGCTTACAACTTGTAGGTTAAGCATGAGATTACCTAAATGCCTAAATCATGTTTTCCATGGATTATGATGATAAATTATTGATGAAATATTGATCTATTTTCCAAAGAATGAAATGGGAAGTGATTTGGTGAAGTAGTGATGAAAATGGAGTTAAATGAACTATTGTGTGAAATAGGCATTTACTCATATGTGAATTGTGTAGATACATAATTGGTTATTTATGTATTACATTGAATGATTAAGTTGCTGCTACATATCTCTAAATATGTAGGGTTTTACAAATGGAATATATGATGGATAAGAATAATCTTAATAGTATTGAAATACTAGTTAATGATTGTTGTAATTGTTAAGGGAGTTGAATCTAAGGATTTGATTATAATTGATGTACTTGATTGTGATGCAAGTGACAAATTTGATGTAATGTGATGCTAAGACCATGGTTGGGCAGTCCGTAGGGATGTCCCAAAATAGATTATTGATATTACAATTCTAGGCATAGTGAGTGCTTAGGAATTGGGGTCTATGCCAATGTAAGGAGATGTACTTGAGCCCGTGCTCATAGAATTGCATTGGGTAGACATGATGAGGTGATTGTTGTTCATGGTGATGTAGTTGAGTTGGACTCAAGAAATGCACGGTGGAGTAGTTAACTTGTGTTAAATAAGATGCATGGTGATGTAGTCGAGTTGGACTCGAGAATGCAAATATATGTGTTAGGGTTGAACCCTATGTATTGTTGTGACTAGGGGTCACGGGGTTTGGGCTACGTTTGATAAACAAACCTTGGGCCTACGGGCCGACTACTTGACTTTATATATAAAGTAAGTATATTTTAAAAACGGGGTAACTTGGGGTTACGGCCTAGATTATATTATCACCCTATTTGAGGGTCTTGTGTTTGAAATACTTGTTGTATATCTATTAGATGCCATCCACACCAGCACTTTATAGCCCTATAGAGTGCTGACCCCTTCGGGGGCGTCCCATCACCATTTTTCAGGTTGAGGCTAGAGCTTGCTTCCTGTGCTCGTTGCTCGAGAGATCATCTAGGAGGGAAGACTTGGTTCGTGCTTCCTCCATTCGGTTTTTAAACATTAACAAGCATGCTCATGAATATTTTACTATAGAGCCTGCGTGCTCATGTTAGCCACGTGTGGCATTTGTTTTCAAACTATGTTTTCCGCTACGTATTCGATTGCTTATTATGTTGTTTATGGATGGCTTGCGTGTGAGTGATATTCTAGACGCCTTGTATAATATGAACGTGTTGGACTGCGGTTGACTATTCATATTGTACGGCGGGTTGTTGACGTGTCCGGGGAGGTCCGGGGCGTGACAATTAAGTTGGTATCAGAGCCTTAGTCCATAAACTTCATAATGATGTCTCAAAATTCTCTTTTTGAAAAGATTTTGAAAACCATGAGCATAGAAGTTTTGTACTTGGAGAGCTTTTGGTACTTGGGTTGCAAGGTCTCTAATTGTTAAGATGGTACCCTTAGCAATTGGTATGGCAGTGACTCGAGCCAAAATGTGTCTTAAGTACCTATCCGTCAATTGACATTTGATACGAGTCTAACGACTCTTTCCCAATTTCTTTCAGAAATGGACCGTGGTGGCAGGATTACTAGGAGAAACCCGACCGGCCGTGTACCAGAGGAGACTGGACAGGGCAGTCGAAGGACCTCTAGGGCATCTAGAGGAGCTGGCCGTGGAGGCCGATCACAGACCGTGAGTGACGGTCATGTCGACACAGAAAGTGAAACCTACTGGTCCTATGAGGACTCGACTTACCAACCGGAAACCGAGCCGGTTGAGACCCCTTACGAAGGGGATGACGATGATGTGAGCGATGAAGAGGGGGAGAATGACTCCCTAGCAAGAATAGAGGCGCTGCTCCAACAATATCAACGGGAGCGCGAAGAAAGGAGGGAACGCCGAAGGCGCCGGGGAGGGCGAACTTCGGGTGGGGCTTCAAGAGGAAGGAGCCATGGCGATTCTCGGGCCCACATCGAGCCACATGGGGGCCGGGGTGATGGGGGTCCAATCATAAGGATCTCAAAATATCTTAAGGAGGCTAGGGACTTGGGGTGCAAACCCTTCAACGGCGCAGGCGACATCTCGGTCGCCGCGGAATGGATCAAGAGGTTGAACGAGGCAGCCCTTGATATGCAACTCACCCCCGAATTTAAACTAAGGGTGGCGGTGAGATTGCTTGAAGGGATGGCATCCACATGGTGGGATGGAGCCAAGGGAAAGTATGGCAATACCGTGACTTGGGAGAATTTCCGACAGGAGTTCTTTGCCCAATATTATTCTGATTTTGAGGTGAACGCTAAAAGGAGAGAGTATACCCTCCTGACCCAAGGTGGCAAGATGACGGTGAGGAAACTTGAACATAAATTCAGGGAGCTCGCGGAGTTCATACCGGAGTATGTCTGTGACGAGAACCGGATGGTAAATCACTTCTGGGATGCCTTAGACTTGGAGGTGCGTGAGAGGGCAACACAGTTGCCTAACATGACCTTTAGCCAAGTGGTCGAGCAAGGGTTGAAAGGAGAGAAAGAATGGGAAGAGAGAAAGTTGAAAAACGCCGAAGAGGCGAAGAAGAGAAAGTGGGAGAACCATGGACCTCAAGGTCCTAGCAAAAAGGGGAACCATGGGGGAGGAGGATCCTTTCGGACACCCCCACTGCCATCTAGGGGGAGTCAAGGCCCGGGCGGGCAATCACAAGCCTCGGGGGGGACTCGTTGCAAGAATTGCAAGAGGAACCACCTGGGGAAATGTCGTGACCCTCCTAGATGCTATCAATGCGGAAACACCGGGCACTTGAAGATGAATTGCCCACAATTGGGTGGGGCAAGGTCATCGGGACCAAGTAGTGGTAATACCGGGACACGGAATCAAGCCGGGACTTCACAAGCGTCCAGGGGGAAAGGGGGAGCAAGCGCAAGCAATGCGCCGTCCGTGAATCAAGGAAGGACTCAAGCTAGGGTCTACGCGATGACGGAGGCGGATGCTCAAGCTAACCCGGATTCCGTTGCAGGTATTGCCTCTCGTATGCTAGTGTTTTATCCTTAATTAGTCCATAAATTGAGGTTACTAATCGCTAGGATCATTGCACAAGGTTTTGGGGTCAAACCGGGGGATTTCGGGCAACTTCAGGCGGCTGGAACCCAGGCACGATCGTGCCTAAGGCAGACACGATCGTGCCTCCAAGTCAGTAGCTGCCCAGGAATTTCCCAGCCCAGGCACGATCGTGCCTAAGGCAGACACGATCGTGCCTACAAGGCAGTAGCTCCCCAGGTGTTTCCCCAAACCAGGCACGATCGTGCCTAAGGCAGACACGATCGTGCCTCCAAGGCAGTAGCCCCAAGGGCTTTTTCCGGAGCCAGGCACGATCGTGCCTACCCCAGGCACGCCGTGCCTGGCACCCAGATTGCCGAAGTGCGATTTTTTCGCACCGTTTTGCGACGATGAGACCTTTTCTTGATCCCTAACGTGCGTGTGAACATTGTAACCTTCTATAAATGAGTAGGGAGGGTAGGAATGATGTCTTACACGGTTCATGAATGTAGGAACACTAAAGATTAATGGGAAGGATGCGCGAATCCTTATCGATACCGGGGCGCAACGTTCATTTGTGAATGAAGCGTTCGCCAAGAGATTGGGAGTGCAATCCGCACCATTGATGCAAACCTTAGTGGTATCAACACCACTAGGGGACGACGTGGAAAGAACTTGTTACTATCCATCTTGTGGGGTGGAGGTTAATGGTCAAACCTTGACGTGTGACTTCGTACCGCTGAGCATGATTGAATTCGATGCAATCCTAGGGATGGATTGGCTAGAAAGGAACCATGCTAGGGTAGATTGCTACACGAAGGTTCTTGAACTCGAAGGCAATGATGGGGAGACCCTACGCTTCGAGGGCGATCGAGGGAGATCAAATAGCTGTATCATATCCGCCGTGAGAGCGAGAAGTATGATGAGAAAGGGATGCCACGCATATCTAGCATACGTGGTTGACAAAACCAAAGAAGAAACAAACATCGACGATGTGAGGGTGGTTTGTAAGTATCCGGATGTCTTTCCAAAAGATTTACCGGGACTTCCACCCGATAGAGAGATTGAATTTGTGATCGAGGTCGAGCCCGGCACCAAACCAATCTCCATACCGCCATACCGTATGGCACCCGCTGAACTTAACGAGTTGAAAACCCAATTGCAAGAGCTTTTGGATAATGGTTTCATTAGACCAAGCCACTCCCCGTGGGGAGCACCAGTTCTTTTTGTGAAGAAGAAAGATGGGACACTTCGAATGTGCATTGACTATCGTCAACTGAACAAGGTCACAATCAAGAATAGGTATCCCTTGCCTAGGATTGATGACTTGTTTGATCAACTACGAGGAGCAACCGTATTTTCGAAGATTGACGTGTCCGGGGAGGTCCGGGCCATGCCAACCTCGTCCCAGCATAACGGTGTACGACACCTCCTCCCATACAATGCCTCGTATGGAGGCATGCCGATGCTGGCCTGATAACTGTTGTTATAGGCAAACTCCACAAGTGCTAAGTGGTTGTCCCAACTTCCTTGGAACTCCAATGCACAAGCCCTCAGCATGTCTTCCAAGATCTGTATGACTCTTTCAGACTGTCCATCCGTCTGTGGGTGGAAAGCAGTACTGAACTTCAACCTCGTTCCCATAGACTCCTGAAATTTCGGCCAAAAACGTGATGTGAATCGTGGGTCTCTATCGGATACAATGGTCACTGGGACCCCATGCAGCCTCACGATCTCATCCGTATACAATTTGGCTAACCTCTCAAGTGGGTAGGTAGTGTTGATAGGCAAGAAGTGTGCACTCTTTGTGAGCCTATCCACAACGACCCAAACTGCATCATAGTTCCTGATTGTCCGTGGTAAACCTACCACGAAATCCATAGTCACGTGTTCCCACTTCCATTCAGGAATGGAAAGTGGCTGCAATAAGCCTGCTGGATGCTGATGTTCCGCCTTAACTTGTTGACAAGTAAGGCATCGACTAATGTATTCGGCTATTTCCCTCTTCATTCCAGACCACCAGTAACTTTCTTTCAAGTCACGGTACATTTTCGTGCCCCCCGGGTGCATGGCATAAGCCGATGAATGAGCCTCCTCTAAGATGGACTTTCGGAGCTCCTCATCTGACGGTACACACACTCGGTCACGAAATAACAAGAGACCATCATCTCTTTCCCTGAAATCCTCCACCGGTCCCGCTTGCATGCGTTCCCGGACCTTCATCAGTTCTGCGTCAGTCTCTTGACCTTTCTTGATCTCATCAAGTAAGGTAGGTCTCACCTCAAATCGTGCCAATAAGGCACCATCGCTAGATACCTCCAGTTGGGCTCTTAATGCCCTCAAATTAGCTAGCAATGCCCCAGACGAGCTCTTCCGGCTCAAGGCATCTGCCACCACGTTTGCCTTGCCTGGGTGATACTCTATCACTAGATGGTAGTCTTTTATCAACTCCATCCACCGTCTCTGTCTCATGTTTAGCTCCTTCTGAGTAAACACGTATTTCAAGCTCTTGTGATCAGTGTATATGTGACATGTCTCCCCGTAGAGATAATGTCTCCATATCTTCAGTGCAAACACCACGGCCCACAGCTCCAAGTCATGAGTGGGATAATTCACCTCGTGCTTCTTCAACTGTCGTGAAGCATAGGCGATTACCCTCCCATTCTGCATCAACACGCATCCAAACCCTTGGATGCTCGCGTAACTATAGACATCGTACCCCACACCCTGTTTGGGTAATGCAAGTACCGGTGCCTCGGTCAATCTCTTCTTCAGTTCGATGAATCCTTTCTCACATTTGTCATCCCATATAAACTTAGCTCCCTTTCGAGTGAGCTTCGTCAACGGCGACGCCAAAACAGAGAACTTTTCCACGAACTTTCTGTAATAGCCCGCCAATCCAAGGAAGCTACGAATTTCCTTGACATTCTTTGGTCTCTCCCATTCGGTAATGGCTTCTATCTTCTTGTTATCAACAGCAATTCCCGATCCTGAAACCACGTGCCCGAGAAAGCCAATTTCCTTTAGCCAAAATTCACATTTAGAAAATTTGGCATAAAGTTGCTTCTCCCGTAGTGTCTCAAGAACAAGTATCAAATGCTCCTCGTGCTCTTCTTCACTCTTCGAGTAAATCAAGATATCATCTATGAACACAATCACGAACCGATCCAAGTATTTATGGAATACTCGGTTCATCAAGTCCATGAATGCCGTTGGGGCGTTTGTTAACCCAAACGACATAACAAGGAACTCAAAATGCCCATACCTTGTGCGGAAAGCACTCTTTGGTATGTCGTCTTCCTTAATCTTCAATTGATGGTACCCCGACCTCAAGTCAATCTTCACACAAAAGAGTGGTGCTGGTTGTCTCCCTTCATGAGTGATGTTATACTCGGCCAAATAAGGTGAATGAGGTGTCCTTGGATAGCTTTTGAAGTCTATTTTTATAATTGAGTGGTCTCTGTTCGAGAGGAGAGAGTAATCATCCAAAAATCGATCTGGAACGAGCAGTGGTCTGTAAACCCGAGCTGTGAGAGTGCTGAGACTGTTTGGTTGATATCTCGAGTTTTACCAATCCAATTAAGGTGTGTGAGATACCCAAAGAAAGCTCTCAAGACGAGGAATCCGTGAAGGTCTGGTTTGAATCAATCGGAGTAGAGGAAGGCTTCCAAATCGCCCGAGCAGAACGCGACCTCGCAGGAACGGATTTACTCTTCTAAGTGAGTTGTTAATCCCAAATCCTTTCCATTCATTTTCCAAATGATATGAACGATTGGTGGGACTATTGTACACTAATCCAAGTGTATAATATGTCCTTGTAAAGTTATTTTTATTGATGTAAAGGTTAGATACTAACCTAGAGCAAATATTGGAAAACTAGGAATCGAGTTAGCCGGAAAACACCCGTTCTAGGGGCTGTTTTCGTATCAACGGTTAGGGGTTGAATTAGCAACTTGAGGAAGCTGTTTAACACCCATTTTCAAGCAAGGAACCAGTTCTCAATCTTCCTTGGCCGAGGCTTTGGTCATTGGATCGAGAAGGAAAGTTTTAAAGCTCATTTGAGGTGAGGATCGACATCTAGTTGCTTACAACTTGTAGGTTAAGCATGAGATTACCTAAATGCCTAAATCATGTTTTCCATGGATTATGATGATAAATTATTGATGAAATATTGATCTATTTTCCAAAGAATGAAATGGGAAGTGATTTGGTGAAGTAGTGATGAAAATGGAGTTAAATGAACTATTGTGTGAAATAGGCATTTACTCATATGTGAATTGTGTAGATACATAATTGGTTATTTATGTATTACATTGAATGATTAAGTTGCTGCTACATATCTCTAAATATGTAGGGTTTTACAAATGGAATATATGATGGATAAGAATAATCTTAATAGTATTGAAATACTAGTTAATGATTGTTGTAATTGTTAAGGGAGTTGAATCTAAGGATTTGATTATAATTGATGTACTTGATTGTGATGCAAGTGACAAATTTGATGTAATGTGATGCTAAGACCATGGTTGGGCAGTCCGTAGGGATGTCCCAAAATAGATTATTGATATTACAATTCTAGGCATAGTGAGTGCTTAGGAATTGGGGTCTATGCCAATGTAAGGAGATGTACTTGAGCCCGTGCTCATAGAATTGCATTGGGTAGACATGATGAGGTGATTGTTGTGCATGGTGATGTAGTTGAGTTGGACTCAAGAAATGCACGGTGGAGTAGTTAACTTGTGTTAAATAAGATGCATGGTGATGTAGTCGAGTTGGACTCGAGAATGCAAATATATGTGTTAGGGTTGAACCCTATGTATTGTTGTGACTAGGGGTCACGGGGTTTGGGCTACGTTTGATTAACAAACCTTGGGCCTACGGGCCGACTACTTGACTTTATATATAAAGTAAGTATATTTTAAAAACGGGGTAACTTGGGGTTACGGCCTAGATTATATTATCACCCTATTTGAGGGTCTTGTGTTTGAAATACTTGTTGTATATCTATTAGATGCCATCCACACCAGCACTTTATAGCCCTATAGAGTGCTGACCCCTTCGGGGGCGTCCCACCACCATTTTTCAGGTTGAGGCTAGAGCTTGCTTCCTGTGCTCGTTGCTCGAGAGATCATCTAGGAGGGAAGACTTGGTTCGTGCTTCCTCCATTCGGTTTTTAAACATTAACAAACATGCTCATGAATATTTTACTATAGAGCCTGCGTGCTCATGTTAGCCACGTGTGGCATTTGTTTTCAAACTATGTTTTCCGCTACGTATTCGATTGCTTATTATGTTGTTTATGGATGGCTTGCGTGTGAGTGATATTCTAGACGCCTTGTATAATATGAACGTGTTGGACTGCGGTTGACTATTCATATTGTACGGCGGGTTGTTGACGTGTCCGGGGAGGTCCGGGGCGTGACAAAAATTGTTTCTTTTAAATTATTATTTGAGAATGACAAAAGTATGGTTGACAAAAGTAAATTCTGGAATGGCAAAAACCCAAAATTTTAATCAATATTTTGTGCAAATCATCACATAATATGCACACTACTTAATAATTGCTACTCAAGAACAACCAGATAGTCATAAGTCTTTAACTACTAGTAAAAAGTGACTTTCAACCTAAACAACATAACTCTTAATGTAAGTGCTACAAATTATGATTTTTGTATTTAAACTTATCCTTTTAGTCGCAGTCAGAACGCAAAGCGCATTAATAGTTTTTTTCACAAACCGGATGGGGCTTTAAAAGAACAGTTGAAAAGGAACAATATCTTATTCTCCCTTCTAAAAAATATACATTGAACACGCACAAATGAAATCTCCCCGCTAAAAATACCAAATTCTCAGAACAATCAAAGGAGACACTACAAAAGAGCTATCTTCAAAGTATTGTTGTGAGCTGCATTCATTAACATCAGTCAATCTTTGAGACCTATACACAATTTCATTCCAAAGTTATAATTAGTTAAGAACAAATAGATTTAAAATTTAACTATTAAGTACTTCGTAGATTACAATTCAAGCTATGAATATGAGACCAAAATGATTAAAGAGTAGCTATATAGACTCAGTAGTTAAACTAGCTATGATGAACAACATATCAAAGATGAGTACTTCTAAGTAGCAATTTAACAACACAAAATTGCTAATTGTACCAATAATGAATGAAATTGGTTCAATAGCAAACACTAAATTCAAACCATTAAAAATAAATTACATAAAAATATAGACACAATGAGTCTTAAAGTACGTAGAAGATATTTGCAAAACAAGTACAAATAGATAGAAATAAACAAGTTAAGGAGGATCATTTTTGCATATGAAGGATTTCTTCAAATCAACTTCTTAATATACATGATTCATTACGGAGTAGAAGAATAGAGAGGGAAAAGAAAAATTAAATAAGCTTACCTTTAAATATTGTTGATCTTCTTTATGAATTGATGGCTTCAACTTTATAAAAACCGTGATTTGCTTGCACGCTTCTTTAGTTTGGGATATCAAATCGTTCAGAATGACAAAGAAAACATGAAACACATATTAAATTTAACTAATAGAGCGTAGGATTTAAAGGAATCGTTTGAAACAGTCAATTGTATTATTGTAATATGAACCGATTTAAAAAAAACTAAAGAATATTGACTTTTTCATTGAGACATTTCAACAAACTCATTTAACCTAAAGATAATTACTCTGTTACGGGTTAGTTCCATCAGATAGAAAGAACTAATAATGTAGACAAACCGAAATATTTTACTATTGATGGTTGAAAGAAAACAAAGATGGGATCCTTAATAATAATGACCAGAAAGTCAGAAACTTTTGTTTGACCGAATAATAAACAGAAATTAGTGCTCTTAAATCTCAAGCACACATACCGATGCCAGCTCCTTCTCAAGAGCCTGAATTCTCTCCTCTTGTTCAATTTGTCTCTCCTTCAGTAGCTGAACCTCTTGCATCAGCTTCAAATAAAAAATACTCCATAACGGTTACATGAATAAAAATAAAAGATATCTAGATGAAGTTATAAAGGATAAATGTAGCTACCATTGATAGCATATCCTCAGGAGCTTCAACAAATGGCTCTTCAAATCCTTCAACATTATCCTCCTCTCCCTCCCATTCCCCAGAATAGACTCCAGGAGCCTCAATCAATGGATAACTACTTGCTTTTTCTCCCTCAATATCCTCTCTGAATGCCTCATGGAGTTCACTTTTGTTAATTGGAGGAGAAGAACAAGATTCCCATTCTCCCCCATTGTAATCCTCTGCCAAGGGTGAACTTGGACCTGAAGATGTGTGCTTTTTGAACAGAGAGCTCCATGATTTCTGTTCAGAGTATGGGTGTGCATCCTTTTGTGGAATCGCTTCACTTGTAGATGCATTTGGCGGCTTACCACCATCATAAGGCAAAGGAGCAGTATAACGATTTCGGGGAATCGAACAGCTGGCTTCAGTTCTAGGTCTATGGTGTTGATAAGGACGGGCATAAGGCTGAGCTGAAGATGAAAACAGGCTGATCATCTTGGCTGTTTGAGAATGGTCCATCTCAAACCAGAAATGGCGTGACTGATCATAGTAGTTGTCAGCAATGATGGGGTAGAACTGGTCTTCCATCAAAGCATAGCATCTCTCAAACATTTTAATATTGACCTTGAAAGACACAGAATGGTAAGATGAACATTTATAGACATGTATGAATATTAACCTTAAAAGACAAATGGTTCAATCTTGCTAGTACCTGTGCAGGAAAGTCAGTTTCCCGGTCTGCCCCATTAGTCCATGCATATGGATCAATATTTAGTTTTCCAGGGCCAGCAGCCTCAAATGTGCCCAAAAGCTTCCGGTCACTGTAGTTAAAAAGGAACAGCGGCATGCCAGCACTAACCTTCTTCACATACGCAAAATGTCCAAATGGCAGCCCTGAACAACAAAAATAAAACAAATATTAAATCAGATTTGCTAGAAATTATCATGAGTAGCATATTGATAAAACTCAATGCATATATACATACAAATGCGGGATTCACCCATTACCAACTATGGTTATACCAAACCAACATAGCAATCAAATACTGTAAAACGAATCATGGTGGAGAAGTACAATGCATGAAAGAGAGACAGAGGGTAAGATCAGAGAAAAACCAAATAACAGCTTCGAAAAACATTCTTCTATTGTATGGCCTTTACAGCCAAAAATGACGGCTCCGAGTTCACTCCTCGGTAGGTTCCGAGCGGGCACGCTATAGTTGTGCTGTTGGATCGGTCGCTGTTCCTTCACTGTCTGGTTTTTATTCTTCTTCCTGGAACCCATTCAGTCAAAGTCTCCTACAAAATATCACACTTCAATAATACACTACATAAGTGATCAATCTGACTAGCTGAAACACAAACAAATACCAATAATCACACAAAGTAAGTTTCACATCGCTGTTATTCCTTTCAAATTTTCAAGCTGACCCAATAGGATGAATTTCTGCCCATACAATCCCCGCATTGTTATGCTACAACAAGAATCTACAGTATGTCAAAACTCAAAACACAGCCGTACATACTTCAACAGTTAAAAATGTGTATAAACAAATGTGTATGCCTATTTTAAGGTATCCACATTTTAAGACAGGCCGGAGAAGAATTGTAGGCAGTATAGAATGGGCAAAATGTCACATTGTAGGCATGATCATACAATCATACAACAAACATCTCATAGTAGCCGTGATCCTTCAAAAATCACAAAAAGTGTTGGAAAAACAAACTAGTTTCCTGAACAGGAAAGTTAAAGTGAGGATAAAACTGGATGAAAAACGTACTACTTTAGGCAAAAAAAGTGAAGCTGTGCTGCTCTGTCTCCGAGAAGTATGAACTTGAGTAAGGTGTCGTATTGCTGGAAGCAGAGCTCGGAGAAAGAAAATGAGTGTAAAAGAAAACCTGAAACGGGGAGTGAACATTAGAGAATGGAGAACCGGTAAAGACCATTATCGTCCCTAACGGTAGCACTGAGCCTTATCAACGTCAAAAGTTGCATTTCATGTACCGTGTAGCCATATCTAACAAATACTCTTGGGACTCTTTTTATTTAACAAATTTGATTTTTCAAGTTAATTATGTCTTCCAAAAAAAAAATTAATTATGAGCCCGTTTGGTAACATCGTTGTTCGGTTTATCAAGCTTATCAGCCGACTTTTTCACCAAACAAGTAATTTTTATTTCACGCGCTGAAATGTGTAATAATAAGAAAAAGTAAGGCTGAAGTTACTTTTCTGGTTGTTTCGACTGAAGTTAATATAGAAGACAATTTTAGCTATTTTTAAATATAATTTTTTCTTTACTTTATTAATAAAATATATTTTAAATTTAGTTTTTTTTATAAACCAGCAGAATCAGCCAATATATTTTAAATATATTTTATAAAATAGTCACTTAAGCCAGAACTTCATAAATTTCAGCAAAATCAGCCGATTCAGCCGATTTTAGTGTTACCAAACGGGCTCTATGTCTAACTTTTACCGATTATATATTTATATACATAAATATTTATAATATATTGATAATGTGAAAATAATATGAAAATGTTGTTTGTTGAAAATAATATCATAAAAATATAAACTTGTTAAGTTTATATAAATATACAGAGTATTAATTAAAATAGTTGGTCAAATTAATATTCATTCACTTCATGTCGGTGTAATCTTAGTCCTCTTGTGCCCTTCCTCAACCTGTCATATTTCCCAACTGTTTTTTTTTGTTATTTTCATTCCTTATTCAAACTTTCCGGCTTGAATATCGCGCATATTAAGGAAATACATTTTTTAGTGTAAGTTTTTGGAATGCTCTTTTAATGAGTGCTAGATTTTATTGTGGAATATCACTTTTTGCATTTGTTTAGCACTGTTTAACACTTTTTGGCATGTATTGTCATTATTACTTAAGATAATAGAGTAAATTGATAGATATTTATTTGCCAAATAAGAAAACGAGACTTTATTTAGAAACATCCATTAAAGGAAAGTAAAAATTCTTTAAGAGATAATATAAGATAGGAGAAAGTGAAAGTTAAAGCCATCAATTACCCTTATGCAGGGTTTAGGGTTGGTGTGCTGTTGGTCTTACCTTTGGAAGATGTCTCATTGTATAGTTTTCGAGTTGCTTTGGAGAAGGTGTATTGATTGCATGGTTTTCCTGGGTTGTCATATTTGCGGGTTACTGGCCTTGCTTAGCATGACATGCCTATTGGTATGATGCCCAATAGGCATGTCACACCACATACAAGACACCTCTTGGGATGTCTTTGGGATTATATCTTTGGAAATAATGCCACCTCTCAGTAGAAAAGGAATACAAAGCTCACTGCACAATGGCCCAACTCAACTCTTGCATGAGAAAAGAGGATACTACAAATGGTGGGATTTGAACTCGGATGGGAGGCTTATAGAAATTGTTGCATATACAAGGAGAAAGCAAAAGCATGGCATTGTCGGTAGACATATGGGATGAATATTTAGTAGGGAAGATTCTATGGCTAATTGAGGTTACCTTTAGTGCAATGAGAATGTAGTTTCTTAAGCGGGGAGATTGTACTATATGGGGGAGTTAAAAAACTAAATGTACTACACATACCAATAAGATTTAGCTTTATACAGAAATTTCTAGGGTTAAATGTACTTATATAGGAATAGTCTTAGGATGGGAGACATCGAGATGTTTCCTCGGCGTAAGCATGAGTGACAAAATGAGCATACAGAACTATTACCTCAAACCATATGAGATCAGGGTGTCATACAATGAGCATCATTGAAACCATACATAAATTATCATAACACATAAACAACCATTGCTTGCCAATTCGAAGCATAAAAGGCATACTTGTCCATCCGGGTAAGCGTCACTTTAAGCATCTCTTTCGGTTAGTAAACATCTTGCCTGTTTACTTTGTTTGTCTTACTAACCTTATTGTGACTTTAGCAACGATGTAAACATCTACTTAGTGTTTTAGGTATTATATTCTTTGTAATTAGATATTCAATTATTTACAAGTATTGTATATTGATCAATATAAGCATTATCAGGGGAAGCAACCTAGACCACAGCCCAACCCAAATTTAAAAAAAAACACCTTTATTTTAAGTATAGAAAATTTCTCACAATTTTTTTCCAAAAGTATTCTTTGTATCGGTCCAGTTCGACCCTGTGCCCTGGCTCCGCCCCTTGAGCATTATAGTGTAAGTTGTTACCTAAGGTTCGAGGTGGACATTTATGCCCTTGCCTCAATGTTCATTTCACTAGTTATTTACGCATATTGAGCTTCGAGAATTGTCTTTGTTCCAATAAGTCTGACAATATTGTATAAAATAACTTAATTAAACCTCTTAGCCCTTTGGATTTGGTTGATTCAATGATTAGAAGTGATTTTCTTTTGTTATCATACTTCAACCTATACTAATTCGCTAGTATAAGACCAGTGAATGTTGACAGACTCTTGTAAATCATTTTGCCTTATGTGATTATCTTGCCACAGAAGATAAGAAGTGATTTAAGACAGTAAAATATATGTGTTGAAATTATTCGTTTTCTTATGACCCATGAGGTGAATTTCATTTCATTGCCATATGTATTCTCGGAGCATGTGTAGTGTATGTTCCCAAAAACATCATGAGAGAAAACTAACAATTCTATGGGAGTTTTAACTGAAAATATTCTCAACATATTCTTGATTCATTGTGGTGCCTATGAAACATTAAGGCACTATTCTTTGTCTTGTCAATCAATGCATCACCAAGGATCAATTTCGTGCGACCAACCAGCAGTCAATCATAAATAAATAAATAAATAAATAAATAAATAAATAAATAAATAAATAAATAAATAAATAAATAAATAAATAAATAAATAAATAAATAAATAAATAAATAAATAAATAAATAAATAAATAAATAAATAAATGCATGAATGCATGAATGAATGAATGCATGAATGCATGAATGAATGAATGCATGAATGAATGAATGAATGAATGAATGAATGAATGAATGAATGAATGAATGAATGAATGAATGAATGAATGAATGAATGAATGAATGAATGAATGAATGAATGAATGAATGAATGAATGAATGAATGAATGAATGAATGAATGAATGAATGAATGAATGAATGAATGAATGAATGAATGAATGAATGAATGAATGAATGAATGAATGAATGAATGAATGAATGAATGAATGAATGAATGAATGAATGAATGAATGAATGAATGAATGAATGAATGAATGAATGAATGAATGAATGAATGAATGAATGGATAAATAAATAAATAGATAAATAAATAGATAAATAAATAAATAAATAAATGAATAATTGAATAAATAAATAAATAAATGAATAAATAAATAAATAAATAAATAAATAAATAAAAATAAATAAATAAATAAATAAATAAATTACATGACTATATCCACGCTTGCCATATAAAACTTCATAAAATGTAGTGTTATATAAAAAGCAAAAAATCAGTTTCTATTATGTAAACGGTAGTGTTTTAACTTTTAAGGATAATAAATTGTATAACCAAATCTAGCAACGCCATAAAAAGAAAAATTCATTAAAGCAATTCATATATAAAAATTGCATTGCATAAAACATGAAGAAAATTCTACTTCCAAATATTCAGATCAACTCATTTTACTTATATGGAGCTATATATATTTTGATTTTGGAAACCCTAGATTTGATTGAACCCAATCAAAAGCAAAATGAAAAACATCGCGTTTATAAAATCATTTATAAGTGCGAACGGTGTGGATTTGATATGTATGATTTTATATACATGGATCAAATATATACTCATTTATTTACACTTATAGATTGTTGTATGAGCATACCCTTGGAATAGTAATGATTCTGCTTCGATGATTTCAATCTTGATCGAGACAGAAGTTTGTTTCCCTTTCAATCCGTTGATTCGCGTGAGCTTTAGATCGGACGAGAAGCTCAAGATCGACTCTGTAAGAAGAAGGGTGAAAAGATCGGATGAGAAGATTGGTGAGAAGCTTGAATTCGAGTTCGTTTCCCTTTGGAGCGACGGACTGGAGTTCAGATATACATGTTTAAAGGGAACTCGACCGCTCCTTTTCTGACACAGCATAATCTGGAAGATTCTTATCTTATCTCCTTTAATTGGTTTACTATTTTACCTTTCATTGTTAGGAATTCGTTATTCATGGATGCTTGTCGTATATCTCATTTCATATTTTCATGCAGTATTGGGTAAGGTTTTGTCCCATCAATATATGAACAAGCCTTAATACAAAGTCTATCTAGGACAGTAGCAATGTAACATGTATGTTACACTTGATTTCATTCAGCATCCCTTTTTTATGACTACTCTCCCTCTATCTTTTGCAAATCATACTATGAAATTCTTCATTACTTGTTTACACATTTAAATTTCTTACTTTCCTCATCTCATTTTAGTGGATACATTTGTAAAGTCTATACATATTACTCCCTCCGTATTTTTTTGTTTGCTACACTTTCTTTTTTTCAATGTATTCAAAAATTTGCTACACTTTCCCTTTTTTGGTAAGTTTTTCTTTTAAAAATACTCAACTACCCTTACTTTTTCTACTTTTATCTTCTATTTCATACTTTTGCACCATCTCTTCCACTTTTTCTACACTATTCATTACCCCTACTATTTCACTCTTAAAAAATGTTCCAACACCTATTGTAGCAAACAAAAAAATACGGTGGGAGTAATATACAAAACGGCTTCCCTATTCACATAAAACTTTAATTGGATAGATCTTTTATTAAACCATAGGAACGCTTAATATGAAAAGAATTGATATAGAATATTTAAGACATGTGATATGGGCATAATTACTATTTCAATAGTAATTATACCAATATGGCATAATATGCCCCCTTCTTACCTAAACATTGCTTGATGGGAGTGATTGTAATTATTATAAGGAGATAATTGATTTCCCATTAGATGTCTATTAAATAAATAAATAAATAGATAAATAAATAAAT